AGCCGCATCAAAAATGAATATCTTTCTTCCTCGGACCGGGAAAGACGGGCTGGAAGTAACGATGGCCATCTTCCGTGGCGCCACGTGGCGAATCAATTATTTATGACGTATCGTGTTGAGACCATCCTCGCTAGCCGCACATGCTTTTCATTGTGATCCCGACTTTGCTGCCTACTTATCGGCTTAGCGATCCGTTCCCTTTCGCGAACGTCACGTTTGATGCCGTGTAGACGTGGTTTCGACTTCTATCGAACGGACAGCCACGTATCGCAACAAAAAAGCACCTGCTCCATCGAATTCGCGAATTTATCCGCGACTTTATCCACGGAGAAAATTTTCTTCAATTTTACTATGTTTTAATTTAAATTAATTTCAGTTTCTAAATATTAAATTTAATTTCAATTCCTAAAATGTAAGTAGTACATATGCAATGAAAATGATAGTCAATTTTACTGCAGAATGTCGATCTATTCCTCTATTACGAATCTCTATAATTCTTATATAAAAATCTCTATAATTCTTATATAAAAATAATATTTTTTCCGTAAAGTATCAAATCAATATGAATTATTGTGAGGGATTTTACGCCATTATTTAATTTGTGGAAGAAACAGCAGTGTTTCAGAAAAAAATGAAATTTTTCGACTCTAAATCGTTGCTTTTACGCCGTTAAACTGAAATGTGTTATTAAAAAATTCGCTTTATATCTAACAAAGTTGTTGTTTCCAGTAAAATTTATCACGCTTCTTAGCAAGATTGACAGTTCCCACGTTATTAAAACATAATTAAATTGAAAAAGATTTATATGAAAAAAGAAAAAATTTGTATATAAGAAGGAATTTATATGAAAATAAATAATATTCTCTCCATATAGTTAAATACACAGGAAGAAAATTTCAGTTCGTGCAACTGGATGAGGACAAAAAAACTTGCTGAAAATAATACCCTTGTTACTCTGACTGAAAACATTCGCTCTGAACACACGCACTGCATTAAAACTCGGTTGAGGTAACCGACAGCAATGGACTGAGTAAAAACCTCTGACAGGAATCTTTCTGTTCCTACAAGCGAGATTTCCATCTGCTTCCCAAATAACGCAAAAATTCAGTTATTAATTCAGCCATTAAATTTACTAACAGAGCTGTTTCCTTCGTGTATAGATTAATGTCACTATATCACAACTGATCCCTAGGTATATGCGGGATTTCTTCTCACTCTGAACGCCTTTCACGTCAAATGTTCTCAAAATGTGCCAAGCACAGTTGTATTGGCCCTACAGGCTGAGGTGTCGCGGACAACGCGCGATCAAGTGCACTGTTCTCCTGCGACATGTCAACGGATCGAAAGTTTCAGCCGACCGGATTACCGGGAGATGTATGTCGTGGCCGACGGCGCCAATAGATATCGGAGGATCGCGCGACGCGATCGGGTCCTCCATAGCCGTCGAAGCCCGCAAGCAATTAATTCATAAGCGTACGCTCGACACAATGGTGAACTATAGCGGCACATATCCGTCCCTTCACGCAACAATGGCACGCGAGCATCCGCACGTTGTGCGCGAATTGTATCAAGATTTGAATGAGCCAGCGCAGGATAAAGGGCCGCGCGCGCGGCGAAGGTACCGCCGCGGGGGACGCGCGTCTCCGCGATTGTCTCGTTGATATGTTAATTAACGTTATTGATGTTAAGCAAGACCGCCCCGGGCATCTCGATACGAGTATCTATTAAATGCCGAACCGCGCCCCAGAATCGAGGTGACGTGGATAAGCTTAAGCGAATCGCTCCGACAAACAGTTTGCGTTGTTACACCTTGACGAGACGCGTCGAGACCGCGCTCCATGCATACCTAAATTTTCACGCAAGCTGTCAATACATGGAAAATAATTGTTCTTATATTCAAAGTATATCAACTCAATTCTTATATTATATTAAAATTCTAAGGAAAGGAAATATCAGAGACTCTCAGTTATCGTAAATTCTGCCTCACGGTTTTTAAAGTAGAAAATAAATTTTTGTATTATTTTCTAAATTTTTTGGAGTGATAGAGAACAGTCAAACTTTCTCATAAGCTTTTAGCCCTACTTTGTGACATTTGAAGTCTTAAATTTTTTTAATAAAATTGTAGCTATTAATGTGTATGTTGAAGATACATAAGTATCAAAGGGTATACATAAGTATACATAAATATTACATAAGTATACATTTTGATACATAAGTATTAAATTGTATACGCGTCTCATCATCATTCGGGAGAAAACGATCCAAACAAAATTGCAAAATCAACACATCACTCGAATTCGAGTGATTTTTCACTCAAAGCGAATTCTCCACTCGACAATCGTCGAGTGAATATTTTCACTCGAAATCGAGGGGTGAATGTGATGTGCTCCACAGTTACGGGAACATGTTCGCTCTAATCGATTGGAACATTCGCTCATTCGAAGCCAGAACTCCCTCCAAGCTTGAGTGAAACATTCACTCTTACGATTTCAAGTAGCAGTACTTCCATCCATCGCTTCGTGTGAAAGTACCGCCACTTCTCACTCGCTTTGAGTGAGATCCCACTCCAAGGAATGTAGAGAGTACATAAAAGTACCAAAAGGAGATATCCGACTATCACTTATCGCAAATTCTACGAATCTCGATATCGTAGAACCGACCGCTTGCTCGTTAATTCTCCTCAGCGTCGATGAGCAAACTTATCGAGCGAAGCGCACAGAGATTTTGACTTGCTCGACCGGCCTGAAGACGCGGCGTTTTAAAGATGTAATAAAACTGGCCGACAGCTGGCTACAGCTTACCGACAGGCAGCTTGTTAACGCGCAATTTCTGTGCGTTTCTCGATTGGCAAATCGCAGCAGGGTCGTCGCGAAATCCCCGGGAATCTCGACGAATAATAATCAACCGAGCGTGCTATGGCGCATTTCGCCGTTTTCTCTGTCGCGAAGGTGAGGCGAGACGGCGGGTCTGTGATTGAATCAGCATGATTCCCCTGTTGCGTATTACCCATTGCGTAACCGCCCGATTCCATCTCGCCCGCTGTCGCCGTCACGCGGTTCTCTCTCATTTCGCCCCTACCTCGGGAATCCTGGTCCCGACGACGCCTGTAATACGCCTCGGGAAAACGAATCCTTTGAAGTCGCCTGTAATCGAAGAAGTAATTTCAGCGCGACCCTCGCCGGCAATCGTTTTCCCGAGGTCCGCGTGTAGGGTCGCGCGTCTACCGCACAAAATGTTATTATCGGGACGTTATTATCAAGGACCTCCCCCTTGATGAAGACAATTAGCGGCGTAATCCGCACGAGGGCCAAGGCGAACAGACGAAATTGAGAAAATGTGTGTTCAACGGCGCTCCCCCTCCCCCGCGCTATTGAAAAAGCCTGACGGTGTCTGAAAGGGCTTCGTCACGCGCGAATATTTTCGCCGCGAACCCTTGGAGAGGCCCAGTGAACACAATTCTGTACATCCACTTTAAATCCTCCCCAAATTCTTTATATCGACAAAGTAATGATCCCGTCGATGTAATGCTATCAATCTATTTCGGATTGAGTTATATTCTCCGTCCCAATCCGCGAAACGGAAACTCGTCCGCTGAAGAAACTGATATGGCGATTAAGCAGAATCTCGTTGACGCTCGAAATTGTGTAAAGTTTTTCTAGGAAAAAAGAAATTAAACCAATTCTGTTTTCTCAATTTCTCATCGATAACATATCAAAGCATATGGTTGACATTTTTATATTCGTTTTTATAATCATAAGATCGATTAAATTCCATAACTGGAGCAAATTTGAATGCACATAATTGTGTATATTCAGAAAATCGTACTTTCCTCTCAGACGGTCAATTTTATTTACACGTTTATTCATTTTATTTATTTTAATACAACTCATAAAAAATGAGTAAACAGAATGCAATTAGGAAAGAATAGTTTTTTAATCGATTTTAGACGCTACCAAGGCTTGAGTTCTTTCTTATTTTAACGCAGAAAGACGTAAGACTAGCCATTAATAACGAAAATTCAAAAACCATAATTTTGTAAGTCGAATCATTCTTGCATAGCTATGGCCATTTTATAATCTAACGTTAGAGCTGTGTAGACTCACCCTGCGCGCATTAATAACCGATCGTTGCGCGTTCACGTCAGCAGTGGCTCTCAATCCTGGCAACTTCAAGTGTTGCAGCTTTGTTCGATAAAATGCGTGCAGGCAACCGAATATACGTGTACATACGCGTGTACGCGTCGCTTTCGTTGCACGGAGCGCTCAAAGGGCCGCGGAAGAAACCAGAAGCGTGTGTAACGAGACGCGACTCGATATAATCTGAATTCAATCTCACTTCGCGCAAGTTAATTCGAGCAAAGTGAAACCACTACCACACGTGGCGCGGAACTTGTAGTTAACGTCAAACTTCGCATATTGGATTGTTCCGAAATACGATTTCTACCAGAATTCAATCTGGAAGCGCGGCGTAGCTACCGGTCCTGACGTTACGGAGGACAAAGTCGAATTCGGAGCACGTATAGCGAAGTCAAGCGTACGGACACTGCTTCACGCGAAGTAAAACATTCCCAGGCAAAAAGGCCCTTTGCCCCAGCGGCCCCCGCGCGAGGAGAGCTTCGTAATTTCACCGGGATACGATGAAGTCGCGGTAAGCGTAATAAATAATGAGGTCCGGTGAGAGCTGGTGTGCATTCTGAAAAATAAGAACCGCCTAATCCGTTTCGATGCAGGTTCGCAGCGGCGGCGAAAATCCCTCACCCGGCCGCGCGAGTAAAACAAAGCCGTTTCCTTAAAATGTTCACAGCGGACGAAATTCAATTCGCCGTGTCGGAAATTTTCGCTCGACGGCGAATTTGCGACGTCCTCGTCGCGAATTAACAACTCCGCGCGGCCTGACGGGATGGAACGGCACGTCGGATCGAAAATTGCCGAAACTAATTAGTAAATGGCACGGAAGGGAGTGATGGCCGGTTACTGGAGGGATCGTCTTTTTGTTTGCAGGTGCGAGGGCGGCTGGTTGCAGCTCGAGGGCAGCGCTCGCGTTTGCGGTCGTAACCAACGCTTCGACCGGCCGGTCGTGCTCTTCTCGGACAAGCCGGTTGCTACTCTACATATGCAGTGAGTACAACATCGGCGTCGCTCCATTTCAGTTAGCGACCGGGTTTTTGCGTTGCCACTTCGTTAAGCTAAAAGCGATAAGTTTGCCGCTCGAGCGACCACCGCGCGATTACCATTAATTTCGCCGCGCGCGTTGCGAGAGAATATCTCGACGGGCGCGCACGAATTCTCCGTTCACTCGCCGAATTCACCGATGTGAAGCTACTCGCAATGCTCGCGATCGGCGGCTCCCGCGACACGCTGACACGCGCGTTTTTTTAAATAGATTATTTGTGCTCGCATGCTCAAATTCCAACGAGATTATTTCCGTTCACTTCGTCAACGCGCCGGAGTTGCGCCGAGAGAGCGTTCTCGTGTAGGAGAATATTTTATAGAGCCTATAAACTGCGAACAAAATCGCAGCGGAGCGCCGTGATCTCGGCCAAAAGAATGATCACGTTAATACGCGGGAGAAAAGGGAAAATTAATACGTCACGGTGATTTTCGTCAATTGTTCCAAAGCTCAATTGAAGGTCGAATAGAGTCAATGTTACGATAAATGTCAGAGGTACCCGTGAATAACCAACTTTCAACCAGACTCTTACCAGCTTACATGAAATGTTTACAAGATTCTTACCAATTTCTACACGGAGAAAATAAATACAGTAAAAATTGCAACAAAATTTTCGTAATCCTGGACTATACAGTAGATTTTATGACCAAAATTACGATATATTTTAAAAGTATTATGACGTTTGATTTTTTATTATTACTAAATTATTATAAATATTTGAATGTTCCTTATATCAGGTAGATCGTCAAATTTTCTATTTTTAGCAATTTATTTATATTATAATTTCAGTATAGCTTTACAAGGAAAACACTATGAAAAAAAATATAATTTTTAATGTAATTATATTCTAAAATTATACATTTGTTTTGAAATATAATTGTAGAATAATGATTGCGTTATATATTTATAAAATAAATTATATTTCTCTGAAATATAATTTTTTAGAAATATGATAAATTAACGCAATTTCTACTACAATATTTCTTCCATGCACTTGTGAGCTGTGTGATATATTATAATAAACAGTATTTCCTAATGTGCTATTTTTCTGGAATGAAAGTATATTCAACTTATTATATCATTGATAAAAAGTGAAAGTTTTATCTTTTAAATGCGTTCAATTTTAAAATACTTGATTACATATGAATAATCAATGTGTATATTTCCTGCTGCAAACATGCATAAAAATAAATAAACAAATATTGCAAAGAGTTATAAATATATAAATGAAGGAATAAATATATTCTGAATAAATTGCGCCGACATACACACACACACACACACACACACACACACACACACACACACACACACACACACACACTCACTCAAAGATACATATGCGCACTTGTCAGCCAGCTTTCTTAGCTGCTGCAATCGACTGCGACATTTAATCCATTTAGTGCAATTAGTCACGCCTTACGCGTAAATTAACGAGACGCGGCGAAATCATAGGGGCGGTCAGCGCGGTACCGACTCGATGGCGGTCGACGTGCTAAACCGACTCGCTTCGTCTCGTCCGTCGTGGTTTTCGCGGACGTACGAAACGAACGCATCGCAGTAAATGAATAGCGGGCGTGTAAAGTCGATTTAATGTCACTGTGCGCGAGTTACCGTCGACGTCGCGGTGCGCGAGTAGTAGTGGGTATTATCGAGGATGGCAGACGAGGACGGACTGGAGAAGGGTAGATGGAATTCCAACGGCATTACGAAATAGGAACACGTTCTGAGCTAAGTGCTTCTTACTACCCCCGAGCCGCCACCGCCACCGCCGCCGTCGTCGCCGTTCTAGTTATCCGGACGTACACCTGAACGTAACGCTCGTACATCGAATTTTACTCTTAAATACCATTAAGCAGTGATATCCGAGAGATTGAATTCGCGGAACCTGCCCGTATATTTTCTCCTGGAATCGCTCAATTTACGGCCGGCGCGCTGTCTGTAATAAATCGGTCCAACTACGATGGCTTTAGAAAATATAGAAAGGGAAACGATACGGCGAAGTGTTTACACGATTCGCGCCTTATGAGAAGCGATTTCCATTATCAAGTGGCCTTCTCTTTCGCCGTTTGTATTCTCTCTTTCACTTGAACATCACAACTCCTTCTCTCTCTCTCTCTCCCTCTCTCTCTCTCTCTCTCTCTCTCTC